TCACCATGGGAGATTCATCGAAATCCAGTTACTCTAATGGCGCAATGCAAAAAGTTAAATTGAAACAAATGCTACGTACTCTTAGTAACCTCGATACTTTTGTTTTTGTGTCGCTGATAATGCATGCCAAAATGTAGCTTACGCTTGACTTTGAGAAGATTTTTTCCTCCTTTCGCATTTTTAGAGTCTAGCCTTATCCCCAGACCACTAGTTTTGCACGAACGCTTCCCCGCTTAATTGTGACATGACTTTCCATCTCAAAGGAAACGCTGTTTTGAAGGAATTCGTGATGTGGTCTCATCGGAAATCGAAGGAGCATTGCCGCGTAGTGAAGACCGTTGGATTGTGCGAAGAAGTCATCGGTTCACCGTCCTGTGACTCTGATGAAACTGTGCCAAGCGTTCGTCTCTACGCGCACAGACAGCATCAGAGAAGGATTTCATACTGTGCAAAATAGAGCAAAAATACACTAAACCGAGAGAAAAGATGGCCGGCTGCAAGCTCTGTCACTTTTTTATGCGCCTAACCTTGCGAGCTTTTCTCTCGGTTTAGTATATTTTTGCTCTGTTTTGCAAAGTATGAATCCTTGCTCTGATGACGTCCGTCACGGTGGTACAGACGAAAGGTTAGCACAGGTTGCCCGGACCCCTACGTCGCAGCATTCTGGCGAGGCTACAGCAGGAATTCCTTCCGACCAACTTTGTCTTTTAAACGTAAAATCATATCACATTTTCTCCCATTTTGGCGGTTTAATGTCTGCATGTGTTGATGCATCGTGAAGTGATGCCACTCATTTGATGAATCCGCTTGTGAGAGCCCTTCGCGGCCACCAGCTCCATCGAGCATGACTGTACGTGTGCTTCGTTTGATCCCGTTGATCCCGTTCACTCTTGCCACCTCGCAGGCCGCCGACTCCACTCACGTCGCGTCGACTCGCCGGCCCGAATCAGCTCCAGCCGCACAGGTCGCCATCGCCGGCCGAAAACATGTACCGAGCTGAACAGCCGCGTCTCATTGGTCTGGACTATGCCTCCGGCCGGCAAGACCACCGAGGCCTGGCTTCGAGCGGCGTCCGACCGTCCGAGAGGTACTCCCGAGCCAGCTACCCCAGCCCGAGCTCGAGGCCCCACGTCGATCCGGCTTCTCGAGGCCCGGCCGTGCGTGGGTCCGACCCCCGGCCCGCCCACGACCTCCGTCCCGTTGCCCAGTCGTCCTCCACCAACGGACCCCCGCAACTCTCCTCCGCCACCGTCTTCGCTGCACACAGGCCCCGGCAACCCGGTCTCGAGGCTCCGGGTGGCGCCTTCCAGCCCTCGGGCACGGACGAGGAGTACACCCCGACGCCGCAGCGCAGACCGCCCCAATTGGTCGGCCGCCCCGCCAGACACACCCTCAACAGTGAGGGCCATTGGAATCAGAGTGAGTCCTTAGCTCTGACCAATCAGACCTGGCGACCTTTTTGCGTTGTCGAGACTACCACCTCAGCAGAGCTGGAGCTGGAGGTCAGTCTTGTTGCAGACTCATATCGTCATGCCTTTTTTCGAAGCGTGTGTGTGAAAGTGTGAGAAGGTGGGGCTAAAAAAGGAGACTTCAAAGAAACCGAGTAGACACGAAGAAAATGCGGGTTTCGGAGAATCTTCTGACAAAAGATGGAAGTATATGATGACAAGATTGGTAGATCTATTCTCACCAGAAGACGTCCACGGGACATCCTTCAACGTTTCGGGTGTAAACGGGCTGTGCTTTCGTTCGTCATGCCATGCTTTCGAACAGCATCAGAGCTGGGACTCATTCTTGTCAAGCCTCGAGTCGGCACTAAGTCAAGAGGAGTAAGCGGCTTTTTTCTAAATGATAGCTATCCTCATTGCAAGCACACTGTAAGATATAAATGGATATAGAACACACTCGAGTGTATGTGAATTAACCAAATCTTTCTATATCCATCGATATCTTACATTTTGCCCACAATGAGCATATGCATCTTCTTGACTTGGTATTAACTTTATGCTTTTGCAAGAAGGAATTCCAGCTACGACGATGTATGTCATGTGGAGGATGTAAACCTCGACAGCATCAACCGGAACGTCGTGTTAAGGCCAAACGGCTGCAGTACAACGTGAATTAGCCGACCTCTTCGGATGAGATTAACATACAAATATCTGCAGCATGTACCAAATGAAAGTCTTCACTTTTTTGGTTATACCCTCTTTGCAAGATAACTGAGCTGCATCAGCGAGACCCGGCTGCTACAAGCTTGTGTGCTTCTGTTGTCGACGTTATGCTGGCGAGACGTGTCGGTCTCTCCGCCAAAGATTAGGTGGACACAAAAATGCCCATAATTACTTTATAAGTAGATTTTCGAGACTTCCATTAGACCGTTTACATGAGATGTACTCTGCCGTTTTCGTTTAAGACAATGAAAGACT